ATTTAGTTGAAAACCCTTTATTACTTCTCAATGAGTACACTTGTCCTCCGAACATGTATGAATTTAATTACCTATATACATCATGTACAGAAGTAGATAGGAAGAGTCAAGGTAACAGTGTGACACAACTGAGGAATGCTTGTGTCCAGGTTCAGGAGAGGACCTTGGGGGTAGTGAAGGAGGGGATGACCCAATGGCGTGGAATAGCTCACCGTGGCCGGGTCACGTCGTCGAGCAAACCTTACTAATCCTGAGGTAGACACCCATTATCGAGGATCGTGGCAGGCTCATTCCTAAAGAATAATGGTTAAATGGATGAGAAAGTTGTAATTATGCTAGTAGGGAATGAGAACCTCCGACCACCTTGATTGAAGAGACGTTGGAATCTAGAGGAAGAAAATTCTCTGAGTGACATGCATTTTATCTTATGAACTCGTTTGTCTTTGCATTTAAGTGTGATGTGCTTATTAATGTTTTGATTGTTTAACCCTTGGAATGAGGATTTTTCCTTAATCTTTTCTTCTGTTTGTTTAATTGTGTTGAAAATAATTCCTTACTATGATGGACTCACCTTTTTGTTTGGTTTTCCTTCCCCTTTGGTTTTTCTTTTGTGTGTTTGTATGTCAAATGAACCCTCACTAAGCAGCGATTTGAGGAGTAGACCGTGGGGAGGGAGAGATGTGTACCTACAACCCTCTGACCAACCGACTTATTTTTCAAGGGATGATCAACTTGAGCTTAGGACTCATCACTGATAATGGTTGGAAGCCTTACTGGAGTGACTACTTTTTTGCTGACATTTTTGTACCTCTATCGGGGAGTGTATGCACCTCCATACTTCCCCCTCCTACTCCTTTTGCATCACCACCAAATCAAACATCCTTCCCTGAACCTAGTAAAAATCCTGATAAAAGTAAGGCCCCTATGAATTCTAAACCCCCATTTACTTCTAACTCGAATCTTGTTGCTGAGTGTAAGTGGAAGGACATTGAAGTTGTTGAGTCATCCATTCGACCTGTACATCATCACCCTGTGAGAGTTCTCCTTCCCCCTTCAGATGAAGCTTGACCGTCTGTGTGACACCCATCATCACCACCACCACCTACATCACGCTCACCACCCCTACCATCGGATGGATTGACAGTGATGAAGATGACCTGCTACTTTCTTCCCACCAGGAATGAGTCAACCTATTCAGATGGAATGGAATCCGATCCTAGCGAGGATTCCCATCTTTTGGAGTTTTATGTATAGTCATAGATTGATATTGCTTATAGTATGGTTTATTTTGATTCATTTTGAAATACTTTATATATATATATATAAGGGGTTGTTTTGTTCTTGTATTTACTCCTTGGAAAGTTTGATTTGGATGGACATATTTCATTTTCACTTTTACATGAATATATACCTACGCTTCAGTTTCTTTAAATTTTAATTTCCTGCGATGATGTTTTATTTATCTCATCCTCTTGTCCTCTTGATGTTGATTCATGTCCTATTTATTAATTGAAGTTATGTAACAAAAGGAAAAGTGAATGTTATGTGAACTCATTTGAAATAAGTGAGATTTATAGGTGCCAAATTAATTCAAAATGACTGAAGAGAATGTATGTTGAGACTTCCATGTTTTTGACATTGTAATGATTCACTGTTTCCATTTTTTTAAATTAGGATTGATGTAAAATGACACAAAAATGTTGAGATAAGCAGGAGAGAATAATTGATTGTAGTCCTAAAATTGTCTATACATGTTTATGAACTATAGAGAAATCAAAAATGGTTCATCCATAATGGTATCCGAGCATGTTGGCCAACAATCTCATGGTACCTACTTAATATATATATTGTTTTAGAATGTTGTTATATTTGATGGTATTTAGAAGTGTTATTCAAATTAATTTTCTTCCTTACTAAACGTGGACATTTCCATGTAATATATTCTTACATCTGAACTTATCTTAGGTTGGAATTTAGGAGTCATCACAATTTAGTGGTACTAGAATTTTAGTAATTTAGGTATCACAATTTTTACTGTGAATTCATTTATAATAAGTTTTTGAATACCTATTCTCTATGTTTGAATAAATAGTTGTTACGGAGTATCGTAAATAGACATAATCTTAAATAAATACATTTTTTTTGGACCAATTAGTGTTCATGTTAAAAAAAAAAAAAGGACTAATTTGTGATACATTCTATCAATTAAACCGTTCTTAATCATAATGTATATAATGATTTGGTCATATCAATGTTACATATCTTCCTGGCTAGGGAGTGCCATAAATTTTTTTCTTCTTATTTTAAAATAGATTTTATATATAAAATATTTAAAAAAATTTAAAAAATTATTAATAAAAATATTATATTTAAAAAATATTTTTTTTATAATTGTTATAATATAATTTACTTATTTTTTCTTACTACTCTCATCTTTATCCATTTAAACAAGTAAAATGATCTTTTGTTATTTCTTTTACTCTTATTATTATTATTCATTCAAACAATATATCTTTTCTATTCTATTTCTATCCACCCTATTTTCTTTCTCTCTCTTTCATTTCTCATCCAAACATAGCTTAATTGAGGTTGAGGGTCATGTGGCTTATCAAGGACTAATAAATAATTAATTAAACAGAAATGGCTAAATTGTAAATGGGTAAAAGATAAGTTTCTAAAAGTAATTGCTATTTATTGGGGTTAACAACTTAAAAGGGAGTAATTAGTCAATTTATTTCTTAACTTTGTAAAATCTTTTTACTCTAGTTCTTAACTTAATTATCACTTCATTTTAACTTTTTCAAATGTCATTTACATTAATTTTTGCCATCAACCACGGTTAATATCCACTTACGGAGCTCTATGCTGTCATATTAGTATTTTATTTTAGTCATTCACATAATTAAACACGTATATCTAAATAAAATTTCAATGTTAAATATCAATAGTCTTTTCAAGGATAACAATGACAAATCAGTTTAGCAATTATTTGAAAATTGAAACATGATTTGATCAAAATTTAAAATTTGGACTTCTGTTTGGTTAGATCTTATTCGTTATCTCAAAATCAAATGCTTTCAAGAGTCCAACTTCGGACACATACACTATATCTGGGGAAGTTAAGATCCAAGACTTAAACTCACAGCTACAAACTCAAGTGCAGTTCAAGACTCCTAATTTGAGCAGTGTGGGAATGAAGCCCGAATCTTTCGTTACCGTTCAAGATGATGAGGATGTGGATGAGATTGATGTAGATCCCAAGGATATAGAGTTGGTCACTCAAATGGTTGGCAAGATCAAGAGCTCTGAAAGCTCTCAAAACAACCAATGATGACATTGTTGCTTTATGTAGCTAACTGGTTAATAATCTTGTTTGGTAGAATTTGGAACGTGTAACTATTTTTCTAATTAAAATTTTTGCTCACTTTGGATTTTGATCCGTTTATATGGGCAATTGTCAGTATGATAGAAAAACTATAGACAGATTTGCAATTTTAGTCATGATTCTGTATCCAACATTCTAAATTTTATTTAAAAGCGTTACAAATTTAGGGACCAAAAGTAACTATTTACTCATTTAAAAGGGTTATCTAATTTTACATGAAATATGGTTGTCCTTTAGATAGAACGTATTCTCTTCTTCTCTTCACCATCAGGAAAGTAGAAGGAATAGAAAGACAACTCTACTGGATTCTCCCTCTCGCATTTAGGAAATTAAGAGTGTTGAAGATTCTCTTCTCTAGCCATGATAGAGGTAAGTGATTCTATCTCTCATTATAATGGAAATTGTGAGAATTATGAATTTTAAGACCATGTGATAGCTTTCAATAATTGTTTCCTGGAAAGTACAACTTACAATCTGCATATTGCTATGCTAATATTTCAAGTACAGCTAATTGGATTTTTTTTTGGGTTAGTCAATAGTTGGAATATATGTGATCAATGTAGGGGTTTGCATGTGCTTCAGATATTGATCATTGCCTAGGAAATTCAGGCATTGTTCGAGACATTTTTTAGGTTGTTTCTGTAGCTAAGCAGATTCCATTTACCTATTCCATTTTAAGTTCTAATCTACAAATTTGAATGAGAAAAAAGTGCATGGTAAGAGAAAACAGTTTTTGTTTAATTTGGAGAAGCAACCCAAAAGGGTATGCAAACTCCCCTTCAGTTGATAATGAGTAGCAGTGCAAAGTAACTTGTTTCTGGCTGCATCCTTATAATTCAGGATAAGGAGGTGGTTTTTGTTGTTCCTCAGGCTTAGCTATTCAATGATGTAACCTCAGCAAAACTAATTGTGGAGATTTTAGTTGAATATAGATATACATCAATAGCGGAGACATATGCTCTAGCAACTGAAGCAGCGAACAGGAGACACACTTTGATTTTTAGGAAGTGAAGATAGCTCCTTTTGAATATGAAGCCTATGGTGTGTTTTAAGATTGGGGTTTGAAATAAGGTTAGTAGATTTGTAGTATGCATGTATGGCTAAATCTCAAATTTATCCTGTTGACTATTTTTGTTTTATGAATTTTAAAATATAGTAGATTTATCATACTGATTGATTATACACTGGAAGAAACCAAAGAGTGGATGTATGAACTCCTTCACAGGGAATGCAGTGATATGAAAACTTGAATATATTTTTATCGTCATTAATTGTTACTACTACAATTCTCTGCTTACTTAGCTAAAAGTTTGTCGATTTCTTAACCTTGTTCTTAAGGGCCGATTTTAAACATTTAAAAAAAGCAATTTTTTTTATTAAAAAAGATAAAATTTGTTATAATTTTATATTTTTTATGTAATAAATGCATTTTTGGTTATTTAATCTTCTGAGGTTAACATTTTCCAAAGTTTATTTTAAAATGGAACAAACAAATTGGTGGAGACACAATTTTAGCATCACTTGTTTTTCACACAACTTCCTACTCCAATTGGTTTTATGAATAATAACTATCTTCAAATGGCATACAACGATATGAACTAGACTGCTGAGGTATAGAAAAGGGATCTTACTCTGATAAATTTAAGACATCTGTAATTGAGCTTAAAAAGATCATGTCACTGATATATACATTTATCTTCATTTCTACATGTATTTCATTGACATACGCTATAAATACATGCAAGAAAGATGATTGTAGACATAAATGCTCATGAGTTTATATAGGAAATAAAATTAAAAATGTCTATTAATTAGCTTATTCCCCCGCACCCCCTTCTAAGTATATAAGTATAGGTAGAAAGTTGACAGATTAAGGCTGAAAATGACTTCTTAGCCATAATTTCTAATTGGGAAACAGCAGTTGCCTGCAACGCTTACCAGAATGGTTAGCTAGTTCTCCTCTCACAACTTCAGTTATCAAATCCTTAAAGATCAACCGTTCAATATCCAACACAATATTTGGTATTGCATTGTAGCTGTTTGTATAAATTGTGGGACAGTGCATCAACTCTTCCCACACGAGATTCGTCGAATTCTCATCCTCATTAGCATGGCTGACACTGCTACTTTTTTGTTGTAACTGATCAATTTCTGTGCAAAGCTCATCCAAAAGCTGTTGTCCTCTTAGTTTTTTACCTGCTAGTTGATTTGGCTGGAACCACAGAGTAGAAGTAGAACTTTCCGATATTATTTTTTGAGCTAGAATGTCATTAACAACATCAAATATAAGCTTTCTTTGCTTTTGTTCTGGATTGTCCATCCAAGCAATGTTCATGGCACTGTGATCAATATTGAAACACATCTTGTTGGTCTTGATTTGCTCTAGTGCAAGGAACAACTTTGGGTTTATTGGGTAACCTGATGAATGAAAAGCCTGGCTAGACCTTGGACTGTTGAGTAGCCCTGATACTAATAATATTTCTGATATATATTTATGGTCAGGATCCTTATCCTCATTGAAATTGGTGAATCTCTTGTCATTGTAATCAATTTGTCCAAGAATTTGAACCAAATTTTCAGTTTTCAAGTTAGTATCACTGTTTCCATTGCTGAAGTTGGCTTTTGCAGTGTTGGCTGAAAGAGGAAGATCATCGGAGTTCTCCTCGCTACTATCATAAGTATTCAGAGCTTCATCTGTAGCAATAAATTTGAAGAAAATTAATATGTAACAAAGATTTCTTCTAAATTGCACAAAAGGGTATTTGGTGCAAAGATTCATTTTACAGATGATTTTAGACTGATTTGACTTTAGGGGTGCCTTTGGGTACGTAGCTTAAGTAAGAACTTATTCAATCAACTCGTTTTATGTGAGGACTTATGCCATAAATTAGACTATAAATCTTATTGGAATAAGTTAAATCGAGCCTATTTTGCTAAATTATACCAAAAACTTTATTGAAATAAGTTAAAAAGAGTTTATGAGAGCTATAAGCTATTTTCATAAGCTATTCATATCTTAAGTTCTTCCAAATGCACCCTCAGTCTATGTTTTCTTAGAAATGAAGTGTGCAATATACCTAAATCTTTTGAGATGTATGATTTCTTTTTAACTGGAGAAGGTGGTTCTTCTCTGTAAAATGCAGCATCAAGAACAGACACAGGGCTTGGTTGTTCTGCTGTACTTATTTTCTCGGCCATAAAGCTTTCCTTGCTCAACTCTTTTGCTGCATTCTGAGCAATGAAAGAACATTAAACGAGGTGATTTAGTTTCAAGAATTCAATGATGAGAGGAAGAAATACTTACATTTTGGTTCAGCCCTTTTAGTTGGATGGAATAGCTATTGATCTTTTGGGAATGATCAATGTGAATGACTTCTACATCACTGTAAGAGTCCATGCTTCTCTTACTGTCAAAATCTGATGAAACAACATCAACTTCATGCTTAAAATCCCTCCTTTGATAGTTGATCTCACTGAAATGTTCATTTCTTTCTTGCAAAGTAGAGAATTTTTGTTTGGTTTTTGTGCTCGGGGAAGACATTTCCCCTGGTTGCTTATTGTGTTGTCTTCTGTTACTACTGGAATCAGATGATGAGTTTGTTGGCGAAGAACGCCTCTCCAAACCAAACTTCTTTTGTAATCTTGGACTCCTGGTCTCTGCTGTATTGCTGGAGATGGTGGCATTTTCTCCATTGATCACTTGAGGAACTTTTGATGATTGCACCATTTTTGAAGTTTTCATCTTAGTACTCTTATCCACTGAATTAAAGTGTTGACTAGTAGGATCCTTGACATGTCTGATTGCTGAATTGATACCTTTAGTTGTTTGCCTGTCAAAATTGTCAACCAATATTCCATTTGTGCATTTACCAGGACTAGACTTGCTGGTGTCTGATTTATCATGAAATGGCATTTCTGTGGAAGCAGGATTATTGGTTTTTCTTGCATCTTTAGCTGGTTTCATGATGAAAATTGGAGATTTATTGCCATGAGTTGGATTTGACATCTCAATAGGAGTAAATGTTGTGTCCTTCTGTTGTATTCTTGGGCTTTGTACTATTGAGCTTTCACTGAGACTACTATTACTCCTATTGTCAGATGGAGAATTTGATGCCCGATCTCTTGTAATATCCAATGATTCTTTATATCTCTGCATAGCATCAAGAATCTGTTTAAGGGCTCTAAGATCCTTTCCAGAATTTTTGAACTCTAGATTAGCTACCCGTTTTTCAATTTCTCCATATACAGAGAGGGGTGTGTTTGATGCTGTTATTGAAGATTCACTTCTCTTGGAAGCCTGTAATTGAGACCCTTGGCGTGCTTCTGGTTGCCTCCATGGACTAGATTCTAAGGAAAACTGGGAACACGGCATCACATTCAGTATTGAAGCATCCCTCCTAGACTGAAGCAAGATCGACCCCTTGCTGGTCCTTGGTGATGCTAAACTTTGGTGCTGCTTGTGCTCATCAATCATGCTAGATCCTGCAAAGGTCTCAATTTTGTTGGTTGTGCAGCTAGAGATCCCTGGTGGAGTATCACAAGTTTGTGTGCAGTCAGGGAAGGCTTCTAGTCCCATTAACTTAGCTACAACACTGGATGGTCTTTTGGAAGTTTCTGATTCTTGCAGCTGCTTAGGCATTGTGTTGGAGTTCACATACCCTTTATGTGGACCTTTCAAAAGATTGTGGGGTTTTGTTCCTTCATTGAAACTTTTGATGGATCCTTGTTTGCTATCCAAGGAAAGCCTTGGGAACTCCTTGTGCTTTGTACCAGATTTGGATGTGTCATGCATATCCCTCCCATCATAGGAGAGTCTTGGTGATTCCCATGCAACCTTCACTCCTGTGTTGATAGATTTTGCTGCTTCCAAAGGCCTAGGAGAATCAATGTATTTCAAGATGCGGCCCTTCTTTTCCTCTTTAGCTATAGTTTTCACTGACAATCTATGAACATCTCTATGCATTGAGTCTTTCACAATATCATAGAAATCAAGGGGTTGATGGCCTTGGTTGCTAAGTTGCTTCATTGTTGTTCCTGAGTCGGAGTTTTCTTGAACTTTGATTTGACTCATTGATGATGGTTCTATCTGAACTGTTCTGTTAAACTCGAGGGATGACATGCTAGATGAACGAGATGATGAAGATACTGAAGTTCCTGATGATTCTGTGGAGAATTGTTGATTCTCTCTTGCAACCTTCACATTCTTTGCCTGCAATATCACACTCATTCTTAACTGTTTCTGCAAAAATTCTTTGATGATTTAAACTATTGTTATCTACTTATCTTACCGTTGCCTTTTGTGTTGTATTATTCAGCTCTTTGGTATGATTACTTGTTCTACCTGAGAAAGGAAATACATCTTAGTAGAAAGTAATATGAAATATCTTGTGAAAACTTTAACCTCAACTAGCTTTCAAATTCTTCTAAAATATATTATGTTACAGTTTCAGAGGAAGGCAATGACATTATTAATGGAAGTATTGGAAAATTCCTGCATAAATATTGTACATTCAAGTTGGGTGTACTAGACTAATAAATTATTAATATATCATTAAATAATGCATTAAGTCTATGTAAGAATTTATATATAATAATAATAATAATAATAATAATAATAATAATAATAATTACAGAGCCACGTGCCACTTGGGAATATATGAAATTTTGAATTCTTCCATAAAATATCGCAACTTAAAGCATTCAATGTGTATTAAATCAGGAAAATAAACTATTTATAGGCGAACAAACTCAAATAAAAGAAAATATTTGTATCTCCGGCGGAGCAAGATAATGCAATTTGTCTTTTGAATAAGGAAATTATAAGAAAATCTGTTTGAAATTTTCATGGTTTCATATATATTAAATGGAAAGATTTTATACATATCTATAAATGAAGATTTAATCTGGTAAAGACCACCATGATTTAATTCGGAGACAGTTGATACAATTTGTCTTGCCTTGCTTTTAGTCTTTTACCGATTACCACCCTTCTCATCCCACCAAAAACAAAAACAAAACAAAACCCGAAGAGAAAAGAGAAAACTATATGACAGTACATCACTGACACATTGTAAGTTAACTGGGCCAGTCCAATTAATGTTGAAAAAAACCGATTAATCGTGTTTATAATATATATAAAGATCACTTTCAAAATAAAAAATATATTATGTTAACTTCAATACTATCAAAATCACTTTTAAAATGATTAAACCTCTAAATAAATCTTTAAGGTTGTGTACTATTCGACACTTTAATCTCCTAAAATTCTAAAATTTCCTCTTATAATTTTGATTTTACAAAACTCCATTCACTTTAATATAAAACAACAATGAGAAATATAATTAAAAACTTTAAAATTAATGTTTTTTTAATGCTAGATACTAACAAAAAGAAAATCAAATCTAAGTAACTGAAACATCTGACATATAAAATCAGAAGAAGTAATCAAGGATTTATTTCCTTTAACATGCATGAAAGAAACCAAAGATAATGCAAATTACCTTGAGTTGGTGTGTTCTGACTATGGCTGCTACCACGTTGGCCTGTGAGGAACCTTTGGCGGTCAAACAGCTGAAAAAATCCACTGATGCAGCCAATTTGCTTCTGCAAATCTGGGTTTTCATCCTTCATTGACGTCAAAACCTTTTTGGACATTTTTGTTTTGTTTTGGCTTCCTTTCAACTTCTAAGAGTTCACAAGACCTCAGTTAAGTAATTACCATTCTCCCTCTCTCGCAAAGAATGTAGAAGAGAAGATCTTTTGTTTTGGGATCTTAATGGAAGTAAACAGAAACTCAAATATCAAGGTGATTGAGAAGGAGGAATTGGCTTTGAGAGTTAGAGAAGAAAGTTCTAATTATGGTGATAATAATAGTGCAATGACTATAGAACTGGATGAGGACTTGGTCATGCAAATTCCATGTTTTTGTGTGTTACATGTGTGTATGCATGTGAACACGAGAATGTTCATGACCATGAATATGGAACCAAAGAGATAGAAAACTAAAATATTGCATAAATTGGATGTTGGGTTTTCACATAGAAGAGGAGAGAGTATATCTGCTGCAAAAGCAGAAGGAACAAAAAGAAGTGGAAACCAAGCAATTCCAAAGGGATGCACAAACCATAGGGAAATTTGATAGACCCAAGAAGAGATGTTTTTCTTTCTAATGCTGAGCAAAGGAATATGTATATAAATTTTTTTTAATGTTTAATTTGCTCTCGCTTGCACTTGCAGAGGCAACCAAAGTGTGTGTGAGAGGAATTGTAGTGTGTATATGATGAATGCGAGTGTTGAAAATTAGGCTTCTAAGAATAAATAAGACCCAGTGACAGCCATATTATAATAATTACATTACGTAAGAGAGAGGGGAAAAGGGGTGTGAAAATGTGAGTTGATGAGAGAGAAGAGAGTTGTTAAAATATATAAATACTTGAGAAAAAGGGGTGTGTGTGTTTGTGTGTGTGAATGAGTGGGTCATATGAGGCAGATCTGCTGTGGTCATTTCCTAGCACTTGTGTGTAGACAAAACAACGTGGGTGGGTCTATGCCTTCGACCTCTCTTCAGGAGCATGTGGAGTTTGTCAGAGGGAGGGAAAAACAAAAACCAAAACAAGTACTACACTTTCCAATTGTTTTTTAATTTTTAACTTAAATGTTCTACCTTTATAAATTTTTATTATTATTATCATTCAATCATAAATTATCAAATTAATAAGAATTATATTTTTAATAGTTAATATAAAAAATGCAAATAACATACTTTAGTTAATATTTAAATTTTATCAAAAATTATAAAAAATATAAATTATACTTATTCTTAATATAATTTAATAATTCTCTTTTATATTTTTGATTTTTTAATAAATTTTAACTAATAATTAAAAATATATTAAAAAATATGTTTCTAGTACTTCTCATATAAAAATTATATTTATGATATATTTTAATTGGTCGAAAGAGTAAAAATATTTATATTAACAGTGCACTAAAATTAAACTCTAGTTTTAATAAATTTTAAAATAAAAAAAGTTTATAAGGTAAAAATTATTTTAATCAAATTCTATTTTGACTATATTTGTATTTAATCGTGAGATTTCAACAAATTTTTATTTTTTTAAAATTATTTTAATAAAATTTAAAGTTAAATTTGTATGATAAGATTTTATTAAATAATTGTTTAATTAAATTATTTATTCAAAATTGAAAAAATTGAAGAAGAAAGAATATATGGGTTTTCAGTGTGGAATAATGCAGATTCTTTTAAGGTGTTTGTTCAACCATTCCATACATATCCCACTTTAACATAACTACTTTTTCTTTTAATCTTTTCCTTACTTGGGACCTAACCTCAAAATGGAGCTTATACGATACTAGTTCAGTTTGCAAACAAAATTGCATTGTTTAAATGTAGAATTTTAATGTTTTAATGTTGCATTTTATCATAGTGTTGGTACTGGTAAATTGCAGTGTTGAGTAACATAAATATGCACATTGTATACGAGTTATGTGAATGTTTTGGTTTAACCTTAAACAACAATTGGAAAAATGGGAATTGAGGAACATGGTATAGGAAATAGATTATTAATCGCTCTAATGTATTATACCAATCTAGCCAGCAACAAGAGTACTGGTTCACTCCAAAGGCTATATGTTTGGCTGTGTGCTTTTTTGTAGGTATACATTTCAGAAGTGTGGTCCAATGTGTAGTCACAACTATCATGCAGAGTCAGACAGGTACTAACTCTTGAATAGGTTTGGACCATTAGCATTTCCAAAGGATGAATTAAAGAATAAGATCAAATTTTGAGGGAATACATTGGAAAACCGATCATTTTCGCCGCAAGCTTTTGGTCCCTTGCTACCACTTCTGCCAGACAATATCACATGTTATTAATTTAGTGTCTCATCCTTATCATTAATATTGGATGAGTTAGATTTCACTTATCTGTGTGTAATTTTTCTTTTGGCAAAGCTCACATTCATTGAACTTAATGAGGGAAATCTGAACACAAGAGGGGGACAAACCATAAAGAACTAGAGTCAACATTGTGAAGATAAGAATTCTTGCCAACTTGTCTTAACTATTTGCTTTTTCATAGAGAGTTCTTGGAATACCTGAATGAAAGAGGAGTCCCTTCCCCCCATTCTCATAATAAGATCAAATTTTATCTTTAGCTGAATTACTTTCAGAGTTTGGAGGGATTCTCCCAAGTTTGACTTACATCATCTTTTGGTGAACTATAAAGTCAAACTATTGAACCATAGAAAAAACGAAAGCAACATACCCTTTACTAATATTGTTTTCAGAAACATGAAAACAAATTTTGATGTCCAATTATCCATAATAAATATAACAAATCAAACTCGACACATGTTCTTAATTTTTTTAATTACTTAAAATACTACTTGCATTGACTGATATACCTTAACCTAAGATAATATGTATCAACCGTCATTATTTTGTTACTTCTATATATCTCTCATGCATTCAAAATAGGATTGCGAAATAGCCCCCAGTTTAAATTATATATAACTTCTTTAACATGCAACCTAAGAAACTTTTAAAGGGTATCTCCTTTTTAAATTGCTAACCTTAATATTATGCCTCACGCGCACAGTTGTACAATTATATAATGGGGTTCTGAGTTCTGACCTTCTGCAACGTTTTAATATAATTGTTTTTTCTCTATGATATTGCTAATTGAATCAAGGACAATAATTGAAATCACATCGATCAGCAAGGTACGTTTCAAGCATCCAACCCCTTTTCATGTGCACTTTACTTATTTGTTTAATAAGATATACGCATTAACTTGGTATAAGAATTTATTGTCGATAAATTAATGGCATAATTGTGGTCCTGCGAAAGATTAGCTTCTTTTTTCAGGTTATGTCCATGAGCTCCCCACATTGTACCGAAAAGGTACAGTATGGTACAATCTTATTGGATGGCTTATTACTTATTAATTAGCTTCTCAAGAGTATGCATACTAATACATGTTACTCGAGCAATTTTAACATGAGCATTAAACATATATAGTTAGAAATGGATAATGCTATTCCTACAATTATAGTAAGTAACATGTCTTATAATAAAAGAGAGATAAATCGAGAAGAGAGTAAAAATATGAGATATAAAATAGGTAATTTAGTATTTTTATATATAAATAATTAATCGAAAGTTCAGAATAGCATTAGAATAACTCATGCAACAATCTTTAATACAGAATTAGTATTCATTATTTTAATGCATTTTAAGCTTTTAATTGGCTGTACCTATAGAAATTATGCTCTCACAAAAAGAAGTTATTATACTCACGGGGTTAACTCATCTAGCTAGTTGGCTTTTGCAGTTTCAAGGCCATGACTTGGATAAGATTTCAGGATAATATCCATTGCTAGACAATATGTAATTCTACCTTAAATTTTTATTAAAGTTAGTATTATTTCTCGTCCTTGCATGGATCGGGCAAGCCTTCTCTTAATCTAAGCTTTCTCACAACCAAATATATAATGTACTCGTTATTTTTTTTAGTTTTAAAATAAATGCCACTTTTAGTTTTCATTAAATTACTTATTGCTAAATGTATTTTTAATTTTATTATTATTTTTTAGTCATAGTGAGATGGTGATATAATGAAGTCAACTTATATCTTTCTAAAATTAAAAAAAAAAAATCACTTTAAATAACATGTTAAAAGAAAGGAAACAATAGTTGGTGAACTCTATGCTAGAGCACCATAAGGATGACTTGTCCATTCAAAGTAAATCAGAATCTGCTTCTGGTCCTTAATTTTTGTCGCTTACTAAAACTTTTTGATATTCACCAATACATAGTTATGCAATAGTAATCAGTTTTTGGCCCAAAAAAGCATTCATAACTTGCTCTGGATTATCTTTCGGATTATATATCTCTCTGCAAGTATCTCTACGTAACTACATGAAAGCACTAATTTATATTCTTATATTGCAACGTCCTTTAATTATAAACTTTTGAAATAATTACATCTTTAAAAAAATTGAGTTTATTTCAAGTTATTTGTTACTATAAAAATTAATAAGATATTGATTAGTTTTCATACGTTTATCTTTTAATGTAGAGTGAGATTTTTAATTAACTGAAGAATATAATCGAATAAACTTATTTTATCTTATTATTAAGACAATATGTAATAACATTTTTAACTGTATATAGGCGAAATTTTGACCAATAGCTGTCTTAAATTAATTGAATAAGGTAATATGATAGTATCTAGCTATTGTTTCCAGTGAAAGGTATCGTGAGTTTGATAGCAAGGTTAAGTGGAAGGTGTAATATTTTTTTACATAATTGATGATCCCATGTTAAATTTAGCTTCTAGTGTTGATTGGCAAATTTCTGCGCGCGTTGGACTACGTGAAGACAATAATGGTCCCCTTAAATCTTCTAATTATGTCCATGATAGTGTTCTTTCACTAACAAATAGTAATAAGTTAATACTAGGTCTTTTGCATTTTTAGCATATAGATGACCTGTTCCAACATAGAAGATCTTCAAATGGACGGTTGAATTCTTTTGTCTGAATCACAACCAGGCAAGAAGAAACATCATGTGCTAGTGGATTGCTTATCATAGCAAACTACCAAAATTAAAGTTAATGCATATATCAACTAGCATTTAGCCAGTTGTGTCCTATGGCCCTCATTCAATTATATATCCTTAAACATGGTATTGCTAATGGTTGGATGGAAATATATATCGTAAATATGTAAATAAAGTGAGAAAAAAATCAACTAAAAGTAATATTATTAAAATATATTAGAAAATTCCTTACCTACCTTAACACACTTTTATCTAAGAAGTTTAAAAAAAATGTGGAAGAGTGCAAATATATGAAATTATTCATTTAAGATCACGCATTTTATTGGCTTATCTCCATAGATTTATCGAATTCGAGCATATATGCATTGCCTATAATTAATGATTAAAAAACAATGTACATATTTATGTGTGATTTCACTTTTCCCCCCGTTAAACAAGTGATTACTTATTGAAAGAAAATGATGAATATTGGCTTAGATCCTATATATATGCTAGCTAATTCAATAGCACCGCATTAATTAATTTTGAACGCATATGTGCATATGATACACATATATAAGTAACAAAATATACATTTCTTGAAATAATAACAACCAAAATTTCATATCAAAATTTTACCTTTCTTCATTTATCTATTTCTTTTTAGGGTGTCATAAGTGGGAATAGGTTGTGAGCTAGGATAGAGGTTTATGCATGCTCCTAATATCTAAAATATTTATCAACAAAGTGAAAAAAAAAAAAAAAACTCTTTGAAGTTCCTAATTGATTCGGTATGTAGTGTGTTTTGAGGTCTTGTTTTTCATTAACACGAAATAAAAAATTAAAAAAGAGAGTCAAGTTTGTGTTATACAATTCATATATTAAAAACAATCTTCATAACGAAGTATTGTAAAATAGACTCTTTTTTAATTTCTTTTCACATGGGTTGTTTATAAAAGATTTTTTTTCTCTCGAAATTTGCTCGAAAACGTCTGAAATTAGATACCTCTTTTTCAAAACGTTATTCATTACTTTATGGTGACAATGATGATTGTAAATATATATGTCCAATGAGTTTCACGAAATAGTATCTTTGTAAAAACTAATAGGTTTAATTACTATGTATAATAATAGGTTGAAAAATGCTATATTAATTCTCCACCTGCATGGAAAGGTCAAAATCATTTGATTATATAGCAAAACAAATGAGGGTCGATGGTGATAGATTGTTGAAGAAGAAATTTGAAAAAGGGTATACACGACCACATGGAAAAGTTGAAGCATCACGAGGTACCTTACTTTTTGAGTATAGACCAAACTGATAAGCAACTCATCTACATCTAATTCCTAAACTAAGTTCCAAGAAGCTTTACCTCATTATTATATTGCTGTATGATTGGCACGTGATGTCTCCATCCATTTCCACTCAATTGCCATATTCTTTAGCAAATTAATTAAAATACAAGAGCTTTATACAATATAAAAAGCTAGTATCCGGTGAATTTTATATCTATATGCATAACATCTATCGGTCAAAGCGATGAGAATTTAATTTCTTTTAAATAATGTTTTAGATTTGAACTATACGATATTGAATATTGTTTATATTTTTAAGATGATATATTTATTCTTTATTTATAATAATAAAAAGATAATACAAGAGGATATCACATTAAAAAAAGGAGGCATTGAGAAAAAGAACTAGGCTCACTTGTTAATGATTTATATGCCTATTGATTGATATAGGATAATGAAATTTTGTTAACTTTACCAATAAAAAGGACCATTGGACATGTATCCCCCCAAAAAGCTATTGATGATACAAATTAAGATAGAAAGAGATTGACATATATTGAGAAATAGAAGAATTCCAAAGCCAGACTAATTCATGTTCCAAGGGAGTGCCCAAAAGGGTCCCAAGATGGTGTGACCATTAAACAACGAACAGACCATGTTAGAGTGGATTATATTCAATATATTAAAGTCTTGATATCCCTCTTGTCACTTAGTCACATGAGAAAAACAGCCTTTACATATATAGTGTTAGGCTAGACAGCATATAAACCATTCATTCGAATCATTAACACTAACCTGCTTTCTTTTCTTCCTTGTTTGGTGGGGCAGCACATTTATTTCATAATGCTTGGTTATCTTTCACTTTCATTAGATGATTCCAATAATTGAACCATATCATTTTCTCTTTCTTGATATTTTAAGAAGCAGCAGCACAAGAATTTACGACCTGGGGAGGGGGAAATTTTGCTAATAGAAGATTGCGGTCCTGACTAGTTGATCACTTGTATGCGTAAAACTATTGAATTCTGTGCGATTTTTTAATGTAAAAAGATGAGCATAAAGTGGATATCAATAATAGCTATCACGTGTACTAAGAATTATTGGTAATATTAAAATCAATATCTGTTTAATGCAATCAATTTGACTGAAAATAAAATAATATGTAAGAGAATATAAGAAAGATGTTAACGAACTTCAATAATAATTTTTTAAATTTCAAAAGTCAAAAATATATATGAATATTGACTGGCCTGCATGATCTAAACCTCACAGTGTCACATGCTCCCATCTCATGTGTTTCAATATTTTTGGCTAAAAAAAAGAAGATTTCATTTTTCCACCTTTCTTCATTTTCTTAATATTTTATCATCAAGATATTCAGGCCCATAGTCCTATTGCTAAACAATTGAGATTTTTAAGGCATGGAATGACTGTTTTATTTTCAATTTTCTCGTAGGTAAAAAAGTTCCTTATTCACCACACCTGTTATGCTCATATCTATTTACTTCCTGTGCTCACAATTTCATAATTTCATGGTAAAATATCCCGTCCTTGAAGTGAAGATATCTTACTAGCTACCCAAAAATAAACGAACTTCTGGCATATGTCAATCTCATAATCTCTTTTTCTTGGGGTCTCAAAAAACATATGTATTACGGCCAAAAAAGAAAGCATGCCTATCTCAAACCCTTAATTAAGTGTTAATAAGTTTGCAACTTAATTGGTATTGAAATTTGAAGGCCCGTTTCTATGTTTTTTTAAAATCTTATCAAAAAATATGTTTAAAAATTCATACAGTAACGAGATAGATTTCAGGGGGGAAAAAATAATTTTCTTTCCAAAATTTATCCAAATATACCCCGATTCTTTAAATTTTAAGATATAATGATAACAATGTTATTGATTTATTTTTTTGGCCAACTTATTGCATATGCTTATGACAATTAGTTTAGATTGTGAATATCAATGAAGCACTGATCCACACGTACAATTTTTTTTATATGAAAAAACTAATTAATATTCTTAGGACACTATTAAAGAATTAAAAATGTTATTTTAATTAAACATATATCATATACCAATTTTATTATGATTCTAATGCATTTCTAACAAGAATTTTCATAAAAAAATATTTCTCTTAAATTAATATTGACACTAGTTAACAAGACTTTTCTTTTATATTAACGTGAACAGTATAGCTTTTAGTGATACAAATCAGTTAGATTAATTTTAGTGAAAATTACTTAAAATTAAATAACTATTGCACTCATAATTTAGGAGGGAGAGAGATCTTAGTTGAAAACATTATCTATAATACTGTATGTAACCTAAAAGGGAGAGAGAGAGAGAGAGTTATCAGTTTTATTATTTCATCAGTTGGACAGATAAAGTTGGCCACACAAAATGCACCAATGCAGTGTCCATGTGACATCTTATTTATCACAAATATATGGTGTATAGAAGAACCTGTTAATCTACGATTGTGTATATTGCTGAGTGAAACCAAGTGGTTTTGCCTTAAAGACTTATGCATCTCAAAAGTAGTCACAGAATTGGTGTAAAATTCATGGATGTCAGCTTAGAAGAACATGCATGATTCTGTATGGAAGCGACCAATGTGATTAATTGTATGTGAATGATTGCTATCATGTGTCATATCAAATGGATATTTTACACTGAAACCATTTTACAAGGAAAACAGTGTAGGGTGGTGATGGGCAAAGAGCCTAAGTCCTAAAGAGAGGTACTTAGGTAGAGTAGTCAGAACAGAATAGTGAGTTAGTAGGTACAATAGCATGTTCAAAAGCCACAAGTGCATGCTAGAAATTTAAATTCAGAAAGGAGTTTCGTCACTTTATATTATTCTCTGAAATCTGACACTGAGGAAAAATGATGAGGAGACAAAAGTCTTCGTTGCAAACCCCACAAACTAAGTTAGAAAACCTAACAGCTTTATTCTATGTCTTCGTGTGATCCAATGTATCCCTTCCCTGAAAATGACCATTCCTTGTTTTTCATTTGGACATTTGTCTAGCTATCTAGCTCAATTTTGTTTTTATACTTTTGTTAAAGTGCAACCAATGCTTATCAAGGAAGATTCTACGGATATAAAGAAAAAGCACGTATACTAGTGTAATATATAAATATATATATATATATATATATATATATATACTTGAATTTTATTTAGCAAAAGATTTATGGTGGAACTTATATGGTACTTAATTTCCTTACCTACCATTAGTGGAGTTACTAAACTTAAATATAAATACATAGGAATAGATATTTAACACAAATCGTGCTTCAGAAAATTTGAGTTTAAAATCACAAATAAAAGCACAAGTCAATTCTAAAATTTAACCTTCCAATTAGAAAAAAAATGAGCGGTAAAGATGCAACTCCGTGTCACTTAGCTACAAAGTTATGGGATAATAAGGATCAACTGTTGACTGCTTTATCATTGACATTCACTCCTAAATCTATTAACCAGAAGTACATTAATGGTTTTATTTATTTAAAACAAAAGATGACCAACAACCAAAGCAGAACAGCCAACTAGCTGCAGAAAGTTTAAAATATATTTACATATAAAGTTTTGATGAACATTTAGTTTACTGAGCTAAAACAGGCACTTGAAGGCTCAACTATAATATTTTCATTTACTAGATAGATAAACTTTTGTCCTTGTCCGAGTATTTTTATTCAGAATACAAAAATATCCTTTTTGATCATTAGGCTCAAATCAACCAGCATTTAGTCAAGAATATGAAAATTGAGTTGTTCCAGCCTAATAACTGAATGGGCCATGGTTTCATCCCAAGTTTTGGCCCATTACATGTGTAAAGAAAAGAGAAACTTCGTGGCCAGAACCTATTTGGCCTATTCTAGCTAAGTGCTTCTAATGCAGTGACACTACAGAGCAAGTCATTTGCGAACAGTCTATCAGACCTAATTAACAAACCTAGAAGGTTCTCTTCTAAAACAACAAAGAGATACGACAATCCCATGATTTTGAGAAATTAGACCACACGATATAATCATGTAGATATTTAGGCCACATAAGAAAACTAAAACAATACCATATCAAAACCTCACAAATGCTAATGAACAGTTCACAAATGCTAATTCATTAATAACTTTCTGAAGGAAACCTCAACAATACCATATCAAAACCTGTTGAGCATGCAGAACCCTGGTTCTTATGTGGACCCTGGTGCTAATTCATTAATACTTTCTAAAGGAATCCTCAACAAAACCATGTCAAAAAGTTGAATAATAGAAAACGAAAACCCTTCTATATCTCATTTTCTCTTTAAGAGAATTGCTCTGATTCATTCAGTATGCAAAATGTATGCTGATATTCAAGTCGAGGTCACGTTGTCTTCAGGTTGACCTACAGAAAGACTATCAATAATCTTGCGATAGAAGTCCCACGATTCACTCGTTTCACTGATGCGTTCTTGGCCAAATGGGTGTTCCTCTACGTACTTCTGCATATCTTCAGCATTTGCCAATCCCTCTAGATATACTCTCAGATCCCCTCCTTCAGCTGCATGCATTGTAGTTATGTTACATTCATCAAACAAACTAAATTAGCTTAAGAAATTATGGGTCATTTAATTCTCCTGAGGTTGTGAAATAATAAACTGCAAAATAGTTTGTCTCACGCTAAATGCCAAGTTTAATCAGAATGGTGAAATGACCACCGGTTTATATATTAGAAAACTAGGCTTAACTTACTAAACGACTTATGTAGGACATCTCTGGCCATATTCCTAGCTAATGTAGGACATTTTTGCACAACCTTTCATGCACGCCCAACACTGAACATTTACTGATCTAGTATAGGATATCAATGACTCACCAAACATACAAATTAAATAGACTCAACCTATTTAGAAAATTAGGTTTAACTTATTTCCAAAAAAATAGCTCATAAAAAAAAGACTGTTCAAGTCGTATAAGGTTTATTCTGATCTTATTCTTAACCTATGTGAGGTAACATTATGTTTAAAGTATGAAACAAAATTATCAAAAGAAATTTCATTTTACCTTTTAATTCTTGAACTCTGGGACATTCAAGCCAAAAGTTAAAACAAAGCTAAAGAAAATTAAGATCAAGTATGTGAATAAAAAAATAAGAAAGATTTAATTTGTAAAAGTTTCTAAATAAATACTTTTAAGATTAAAAAAAATATAAAAAAATAAATATTATTTCATAAATTAAAAACAAGTTAAAGTCTTTAAGTATTAAAGAAGTTAAATGAATAAGTTTCTAAAAATTAAGAGAATTATAAAATTTATTTTTAATCAGAGTTTATTTTATTTTATTACTTAATTTTTAACTTTTATAAACATTCGAAAACCTTTTCTAAATCTGCTAAACTTACAAGTGTGGCATAGTCCTACAGTAAGAAAAACAAGATATATATGCTAGTAGGTCTCGACAAAGAATTTTACCTAAAGAATTGTCGCTCTTGTTCTGATAACCGAATGTAGGAGGGAAGACCGAGGTATTTGGCTGAAATAATTGATCAAAACATTTTTCAAAAGGGTTAGAAAATGTAAAAGTGGTGTAGTGGTTCTAAAAAAACACCAGTTTAAACAAGGTAAGAAACGAAAGTCAACTTATTTACAGGATTAAGCAATGCTTTGAAAGGAGAATCATCCAACAGCAATGTGTTTGATTCATTATAATATCCCTTCTCCCAAGGAAGATTTGGATCGTGCTTATCCCAAAGTTTCCTCAGATCCTTGAAAACCACATTCTTGTACTTGTTTTCAGGAGTTTTGAAATTTGTTTCAGTACAATGAGACATGTCCTGCAACATCCAATAAATCAGAAGAAGAAAAAGGTTTACCACTAACAACATTGGGACAGCAGTAAAATGTAGTAGTTTTCAATTTTCATCTATCTCATGATAAGATTATATGAATTTAGTTATTACAGAGGAGCAGAGTAGTTAATTAATGCATACAATTCATTTTTGTATATAATACAGGCACAAGAAGAGAAGTAAAAATAAAATCCATACCTAAATTGGACTCTCAAGCAAAACCTAACATATCTAATTATGTATTATTTATAAATAATATACTAAACCAATAAATCTGAAGGTCAATGAGGAACCAGAGAGAGCTTTTAGGAGTCAGAGAACAATGTAACAAATGCTTACCCAACAGAAAAGCAATTTGCTTTTCATGTCTCCCATCAAAGCATCAATGACTCGATCAACATTTTTCCTACAACAATAAAAAAAATCCTAAAGTTTATATAACAGTTGGATTTTAACAACACAAGATCCCAAAAGGGAAAGAGGGTATTACCTTTTGAAAAAGAAATTGAAAAAATAGAAAGATACTAACATAGACGTAATAAATAAAGTCATATTTATAAGAGATAATTGAAGAGTACTTCAATCTTGAAGACCATATGCCAACTTCAAATCTATCAAAGCAGAACTCCAAAAACTCAAGATAAAAGGGCCTCTTGAATACTGAAATCAAATTCAAATACAACCCAATAAGTAAAAATTGGATGATTCATCAATAACTTCAAATAACAGAATCCATACTCACTTGCTCGCCTTGCAAAGATTGCATCTGGTTTATGATCCTTTGGAGGGGAAAAAACTACATCTGCTAAGAGCCCATTTATATCAAGAACAAGAAGTTTTTTCTTCAAACTTCTAACTTGAGTTCTCATCAAATGGATTTTCGAAATCTCTGAACAAATATCTTCATTTATGACAGAAGAAGATACTGTCTTCATTTCATCAGTATGAGAAGAAAACTCTCTGTCACTTTTAATTTCGCTCGAATCAGTTGACTTTGTATTTGCACTTGGCTCCATCCTATTCTTATCTCGGTAAATATGCGCACAAAAAAAAATTCAAATAAGTTAATAGAATTTATTTACAGAAAAACTATCTGGCAAGCACATGCGTAATGTTATTTAATACAGTTTAGCTTCACATATTATTGCACTCATTTTTTTATGCAACTAACTATGCTGCATTCTCTATCCCCAACCATATTTCTGCACTTGTTAGATTGAATTAAGAAGGCAATTTAAAATACAAAGCTCTAATGAGCCATAACATAATTTAATGAATGAAAATGGCCAAAAGAATTTACACCTCAATATGTTGCTCACTCTCTCATTTTCCATATCTCACTAATAAGCATATCTTAATGGTAAATGATACAAATCCGTGCAAGAATCTAGCCAAATCCACCATCATTATGTTGTTCTTCTACAGAGTCAAGTGGCTGCTATTGCCTTCTTGTGTCATTTTTCCAGGAAAATAAGGTCAAGATTTATGGAATGAGACAAACAGAACAGTTGATGAAGTAGGAGTAAGAGCAAGAGCACAAATCTAAAAGAGAAGATAAACGAGACACACATGAAGCAGAAGTTAAATCGATTAGGCAGAAAGAAGGCTAAACTAAGAACATCGATGTATCTTGCAAAGATAAAAGGATACGAAGGTAGCAAAAAGAATGAACGTGGTACCAACCTAGCGAAGTTGACGAAGAGAACAAGGAGAATAAGGTTGTTCTTCGAAGCGAACGATGTAGAATGAATGTTACTCACCGAGTCTTGTATTCACTCTTCCGCTTCTTCACGACATTCATGCACTCGAATTTGAGAGAGAAATTCGGTTTCGTTTTAGAATCGTAACCGTCACATTGAAATAAGAGTTCCTAAGAAATGCTGAGATGTCACTGACATTACCATTACCAAGACATAGCCATCACAGCTACCTTACCTTTACCTGCCCTCACCCACTAATTTTTCTTTTTAATTATAATTAAAAAGCTATTAATACATTTCTAACACTGTTTTTAATAATTCATTAAAATTTATTTGACTTTTACTTCTAATTTATTATTTTTATTTTTAATTTAATGATTTTTTTATACATCTTTATAATTTTTAATAAATTTTAGCAAAATAATATTAGAAAGAATATTGACTTTTTCTTTTAATACCACACCAGTTACGTGCACTTCTTCTTACCTCAAATGGGGGAAACTAAATAGACCATAAATTGACCAATGTCAAATTATTTGTTTGAAGAATATTAAATATACATTACGATTTAAAATAATAATACATATTTTATTTAATGCTTATTTTATATAGCAACAAACTTTATTAATTAAATAATATGCGAAGGGGTATGTAGTTTTTTCATAGGAATTAAATTTCTGATAATTTTTTTTAATTCCTACTATTATCTTCACTATTTGTCATACATTTATAATTTAATTCCCAATAAATTTAAGTTAGATCAGGTATATTTATTAAACAAGAAATTTAAGTTTTTAAAATTTATATAGTTAAGTTTTGACTTCAGACTATTTCTAAAAAAATTAAATTAAGCCTGACAGACCTACATGTTTAAATAAATATAATAATACAATGATTATACTATTTAAATTAAATTTTAAAGAAGGTTGAAAATATACTTTTTTTTAATACATTTTAGTTCTTGGTTATAATTTATTAAAAAATTAAAAAAGATGAGAATAATACAATGATTATGTACTAAAGAAAGCAAAATTAACAATGTTATTTATTAGTATAGTTTGAATAGGACTTACACTAATAGTTTAATGATTCAATCATGACCTCAAAAGTCAATTACACTATGAAGCAATCGATTGTTTATTTGAAAAGATCACCACGATCATCATGTGCATATGATGACCCTTATGCGTGCCATCATTATTGTAGATTCACATGCTTGATGCGCTTAAGGCGAGATATACATTAAATAGTTACACGCCCTAAAATAAAATGATCAAGTACATCAGTGCAATTAATTACCCGATGCATGTACACTCGCTAATAGACGATATTAATTATAAATAAAAATCTATTATTTCACATGTTAAATTTAAAATTATCACATACTGAATTAAATTTATAAAATTTTATTCAATTAAAATTTTATTCAAGACTTTCTCACTTGCACTTTATTTTAGCATATATATTTTTAAAATAAATAATTACTATTTGCCTATATATTTTTTAATTATATAATTTTTTAAATATAATATTACATACTTTAATGATTCAATTAGTCATAATTATTTATAATGAAAATATTATAAATACATTTTCTAATATTTTATGTATATGACCACTCATTATTTTCTCAATTAATTAGGACCACTTACTCATATCCTTTTTTGTAATTGTATGTTCTCATAATTTAGTTAGTCTTTTTTAAAGATTCCTCCAAGATGACCTTTAATCATTGCTCAAATAACATTTTGGAGAGTTAAGCCTTCCATCAAAGGGATTATAGGCTTGGCACGCTGTTAGCTAGCAAATCATTTCATCATCATGTTTTTTGCTTTTCTTATCATGTGTTTTGTTTTGCTAAGCTTTTACTTTTTTTTACACTAAATTATAATTTTGAACTAGTCAAATTCTGTACAAGAATGGCTGATATCATATAAAAAGTTATTAAACAACGTAAGTAGAGCAACATCAAGGGATCTAACTCACATAGGCGTGCGTGTAATGAGTGTAAAAATATAAGAACGAACCACAGTTGTAGTCTCCCTGTGCTCTGAAAACACAGTTACTACCCACGCATCCCTTACCTCAGTGTGCATGCAACAGCAATGGGGAATCTGTGTTCAGTGCGAAAACACAATGCTTGCAACCAAAGTTCCTTCCATCTCTCCAACAAAACCACTTTGCCAAGAACTTCCAACTCCCTCAACCACCCTTTGCTCCAACCTCATCACTTTCTTAACCATAACCATAGCTATAACCAGGTTCTTTTGCTTATAATTTTCTTTTGTTATATTAACTTCATCGTTGCCTCACCTTAGATAATCGAGTGCATTAAAATAAAAATTTTGATAACCTCAGTTATTTGGACTTATTTAAGCATTTAAAGTTATAATTTTTTGTTTAAAAAATATTTATTATATTAAAAAAGTAATAAATATTTTTTTACAAAAAATATTTATTACTTTTTTAATATAAGTGCTGAGGTTATACAAAACCGTTAAAACAATTGTAATTAGTTTTCTTTTGTTTTGGTTAATTTTTTCTTTTTTTAAATAATGGGTTGGCTAAAATATTTAGACTTGGACTTAGTGTTTTTTTGTGTTTTTGGAATTGACCAGTTATGTTGGACTCTTTAAAAGTTTGATCAAAGGAAATAATTTGGTGATTTTGGGTTAAGAAGGGAATTATAGGTGGAATGATCAGTGATGATCCCTTCATAAGATTTGTTACACTTATATCAGAAGACTTTTGGAACATCAAGTAACTTGTTTGATTTCACTTTTTAAGCCATTACTATTAGCTCAAGTCCAAGCACATGATTGTTTTTTTGAAATTTCAAACATCTTGCTCCTTGTTTTATGATTTTACCCCACCCGGCACCTCTTATGTTCATTATTTCCGTTTTCCCTTTAGCTTATTATGCATATTTTCGATTTGACAGGGTACAAAGCTTGATGATCTTGAGACTAATCATTTTGTCCTGGTTCATGGGGGTGGCTTTGGTGCCTGGTGTTGGTACAAGACTATAGCCCTTCTAGAAGAAAGTGGTTTGCAAGTAGCTGCCATAGACTTGACAGGTTCTGGAGTTCATTCATTTGATACAAACAACATTACGTGTCTGTCACAGTATGTGAAGCCACTTACAGATTTTCTTGAAAATCTTCCTGAAGGGGAGAAGGTGCTTATTTAATTGCCTTTCCTTTTGTAACTTAACTACTCATTGATCTTTATTATATCTCTGCATGCCCTTTAGCATGTGTTCTTTTTTAATCACTCCATGCCTCCCCAAGAATAGAGTTGTGATTTGAATAGAAAAGAAAAAAATCACGTGCTTGATTTTAATTTAATTCTGAATAATGTGACATATTGTTGAAGATGTTTGACCAAGGGAAACTGAGGTTATGGTTTAATTTTATTCTTCTACAAAAACAAAAATTTAGTACTTCTTTCTTGCAATTGTTTAGGAGATGTGGTGATGATCTTAATAGGATTGCAAGTCTTAGTGACTTGCATTTATTCTCCACATTTCCAAGTGCTGCTCAAAAGTATCAATTTAGCTTGGTACAAATTGCAATTTTTACAATTGGGTCTGAATATAAGCTGCATTTGTTCCAATGTAAAATCCTGAGTGGAAATGTAAATGTTTCAGTCATTAGTAAACGCCAGATGACACCGATTATGATCTATTATTTTCCCATTAATAGCAGTTGTTTGGTAGGATTTGATACGTGGCCTAGCATTATGCTTTTGAGAAGAGTATTTCTTTCTTTCTTTCTGATTCTTATGCAGGTGATATTGGTTGGGCATGATTTTGGTGGGACATGTGTATCATTTGCAATGGAGTTGTTTCCTTTTAAGATTTCCAAGGCTGTCTTCATTGCAGCAGCAATGCTGACTAGTGGACAAAGTACTCTTGATATCTTTTCTCAGCAGGTTTTCCATCTCATGTTAGCATTAAGACTGATAAATCTTTATTTTTACTACTGCTATGATCTTAATTATTTTATTATTCTGAAATTTGTAACAGGTATACATGCAATAATTACCTATCAACAATATTTGATTGATCATTCTATCTGTGTATGCCTACAAGTATCATTTGGAAAAGCAATGAATTTTATGCACGCTGTCAATTTGCCTAGATTCGTGGTTTCTGATGATAAGTTCTATGACTCATTTCTTAACTAGAGTTATACCTGCTTTTGAAAGTTGAAGGGTTATTTGTCTGAGTTTATACTTGCTACATGGTTGCATCCTTGCATAATATTGCAGTAACTTTTTCTTAAACTGATGAACTCCCTAACTTTTCAAGTTTCAAGTACAATTATATAAATACATCCTACTGTTAAGAAATGCCTTATTCTGAATTGATTTATTGAAAATTTAGTTTTTGATAGACCTAGTGACATCATTTGATCCACTTAGTCAACTCCAGCTACAAGGGATAGATATGCTTGATCATTGTTGTTGTATTTTCTATGTAAAAATATATTTTTTGAAAATCACTTTCCTTCACCTTCACCTTCTCCCTACTTAAAGGGAGAATGAAAAAGGAAATTCACAGCACTATAGAATAAGGAAGTGAGATTGAAAATGAGAGAAATGGCTTTATAATTATTATATAATTTCTATTGATCTCAAGCAATAATTTTAACATCATTTATAGATGAAGAAATTTTGTATCTGTTTAACGTTTATTTGTTGTGCCTATCTATTGCAGGCAGGATCAAATGATCTTATGCAACAGGCTCAGAATTTTTCATATGCAAATGGGAACGATCGCTCTCCTACTTCTTTTGATTTGGACAAGTCATTATTGAAGGATTTATTATTCAACCGAAGTCCCACAAAAGTAAGTTGTAACTTGTGATAAATTTTGACACTTGAGCATCATTTCTATTTTAGGAATCTAGTATTATGACATAATAGCTGTTAGATATGGAAATATTACAGTAGAAGGTTTTGGCTGTAAAATGAGAGGGCTTTTTCTTAGGCCAGGGGCACACTAAGTGAATTACTTAGAGTTATGCAAACCCTACAATTTTTTAAGCTTTAGTTAATCTTTGAAAGAAATTTTTTTATGCTTAGCAACCCTTTGCATTTGATAGGCAAGTCCACATTTGGGCTCCTAAATTGATTGTTCATTTATGTTGGCCAGAAGAGTTTAGTTTATTTTAGGGATCAACCCACTGAATAGATATCTGATTTAGGGTGCCAAATTCCCCTTCCTCTTACCTTTCTATGAGAACAAACATAGAAGCCATGCACCCCTTCTTTGCATGGGCAATTTTTGTTAAACAGTGAGACTTATGAAAGCAGCATATATTTACTTATTTCCTTTTTTTTTTAATTTAGAGTTGATAAAAAAAATTTATAAATAAAAAGTAATTTATACTCCTTAAATTTTAGAAAAATTAAATGAAAAAGCTTCTAACAAAATAGAAAAAATATAAATTAATTTTAATTTGTTAAAGAAGTTTGATTACTTTATTACTTTATTTTTCACTTTTATAAATATTTATCGATAAATTATCCAAATTGAGCCTATATTTATTTCCGGGAACCTCACCTTGTTATGTTGATCACTCTCTTAATGCAGGATGTTGCTTTGGCATCTGTCTCAATGAGGCCAATACCATTTGCTCCAATTTTAGAAAAACTTACCCTTTCTGATTTGAAATATGGATCCATAAGACGATTTTACATAGAAACTCTTGAAGACAATGCTATACCCATCACCCTACAAGAAAACATGATAAACACAAGTCCTCCCGAAAAGGTTTTTCATTTGAAAGGTGCTGACCATTCCCCCTTTTTCTCAAAGCCTCAAGCCCTACACAAGTTGCTGGTAGAAATCTCAAAGATCCATTGAGAACAATCTTCTACCTAAATTGCTAGTGAAGCCTCATCCAAATTGAAGTTATATAAACATTGACATAGGAATGAGTCATGATACTGGCATCAGTAACTTCAACTTCTTTAACTCAGTTACCATATCACAAAATTTTGTGCAAGTTATGAGTTTCTTTCTCCCATTTTTATTTTAATTTAGGAAAGTTGTTGTCAATATAATCTGAAATTTATGGCAGTTATTCTTGCAATGCAACATATAAACCATGGTATATTGTAAGTGTTGTCGGTCAAAACTTTAAGGTAGGAAGCACCATATCTCGAAATGGTTGGCAAATATGGTGTTGGATAAGTGTCGGATACCTCTGGATACTTCTAATTTAATCTTCTAATTATTTTTTGAACGAGTGGGGTACCAAATTGATTTGAAAAATTATATGTTTTGTTGTGTCTACATTGACTAATGTTAAGTAACTAATGAAACATCTTTGTTTTCATAATGTTTTTATTTTAATATTGATATTAATTTTATGTATTGCATTTGCATCTAAATTGTGTCATGACTTCTAATTTTTCAAATTTGCTTATCTATATTTTGGTGTCACGTCGATTCCTATATAGGTTTTTATCTTTTTCTTTTTCTCTTTTTGGGTCTCTTGTGCTCACTGGTTAAAAGTATCAAGCTTTGCATTTTGCTGAGTAAAGTTGCAGTTTACATATGAAAAAAATTTAAGCAGAGTATTGTTAGTACTTTTTTTCTATTATATTATTTAATTAAGGTGCATTTGAATATATAATTTATTGAAGTGTTTATTTATTTATTTATTTTAAATGATGACTTATGCTTGTGGAATTTATTATTTTGATAATACAATTTTTATTTTTATATAGTATTTTAAATAATATTTACTAAAATGTGAAATTTAGGGAAAATTACATAAATATAAAAAAATGGCTATAACGATTGTTTTGCAGGTTTAGATAATTTTTTTTATATTTTCTTTTATTTTTAGCAAAAATATGTAAAATAAATATTTAAGATTATTTAATTTTTATAATTAATGTATGGTAACCATATTTTTATGAATTTTTTATATTTTTGTGTACATAAATATATACTTTCACTATCATTATTAATTAACATCGTGAAAATAATTAATATAATCGTTTTGTATCATTAATATCACCAATTTCATGTAAATGCAGAATCTAATCTCAATTTGTACATCTATCTTTTCTAATTTCCATTTGTTTTCAAATCAAACAAAAATTAAGTGAAACGTAATCTAATCAACTGGGCTAATTCTAGTAGGAAAGTTAGATTATTAATTGTATTTTGAAACTGTCAGATTGTGACCGTCGTCAGTGGTTGTCATGTTTGGTGACCGACAATTCGGCGCATCATAGCATATGGAAGAGAAAAGGAAGTTTCCCACTTTAGTGTGAAGTTATTAAAAATTATGAGTGTGTAAGTTTAATATTTGATCTTAATGGATCTTAATTCATTTAAAAATTTGTTAAAAAATTTATGAACATTAATTTAATGTAAACTATAATAATTTGAGTAATCTTTTGCACTCAAGAAGAGATTTTCTTTTATGGATGCAACCAAGAAGAATGAATAATCAAGTATAAATTGCTGAAATATTATTGTTATCTGTTAGAAGCACCAAATTGTAGTAAAGGTAAAGTAGGTGTTTGCATGCAGTAATATTAATGGTGTTTGAGACACGGACGATACAGTGCAAGTTGTCCCATGCGTGATGCTTGAGAAAGGACCTGTCTTTGGATGTTTGGCTTTTTTTGCTGGAAAAGTTTGCTTGAGATGTTTCATTTCTTCACAACTTTGCCTTAGTGACAAGCAACTATTGGAATTGGAATCCACAAGCAAAGTGCACCGTATATGCTAGCTTTATGAACAGATAAATTAACAAGCTTTGTGATTTCTTCGTGAGAGTTGTGGTTTAGTCTCTTGTGATTTGTTTGCCCTGCTCATGGTGAAAAGCACACAAGACCCTTAATAATTGAATTGCTTTTTCTTCTCCTTTTCATGTGAATTTGTTTATGAATAATATGCTATGTTAATTTCCTCTCCAGCTGTATTGACATTCTTCACTTCTATTATATATATAGGTGGCTGTATTGAAGTTTCTTATATTGATTCCATTATAATAACTAAGTCTTTTCCTATTGTATTGGAATTGATCATTTTCTTTTAAAAACATTTAAATGAGTTTAATTAATTACAATCAAGTAACCTGTTTTAATAGGTCAATAATGAATATATAATAGACCCTTAAAATTAAGCTCAGCTCAATATAAATGTAGGTCCGATCCAAAGCGAATTATGAATTAAAAAAATAATTAATATGAAGGATTTATTTGCTAAAAATGAAAAGTCTATTCTTTAAAAAAAAGATTTGTTTTGCTAAAGAAAAAATTATCACAAATAAATTAATGTATTTTTTAAGAAGAAATCGCTTTTATTATTATCCATTAATTAAAGATTTATAAATCTTTTAAATTATTTTTATGAGAAAAATGCTAGTCATTAATGAAATTTTTATTTAATATGAACTCGTTGTTAGTATTATATTTGGACCACTTAAACATGTGTTTAGTGGGCTTCCCTAATCAGCTGAAAGGATGTTCTAAATATGTTTTGAGTGTACCTTAACACGCGTCTTAGATATGCTATGTTTGCGTATCAGAAGTAATATATTATCAAATTATACTCTTAAAATAATTATATTTTACTACTTTATCTATTTATCAATATTAATATGGTGATTTTTTATATCTTTAAAGATTAATTCAATAATAAATTAAACCTTTAAAGAATTAATTTAATGATAATATTTTTAAAATATTAATATAATAATGGCTTAGAATTTTAGAAAAATATAATTTTAAAATATTAATATATACAGAGCAAAATATGGTGTGGGACAATTTTAAATTATCAATATTTTTGAAAACTTTGTTATTAGTTTTGCTTCAACTACCGTGAAACAAGCTATAGCACTTTGAAAGCCATTGGAGTTAAGTTGAAAATCAGGTTTAGTTTTAAGCTTCATAATTTTAAAACCAAAACCATTAGTTTTAATTTCAACTTCAATATTTTGAAAAATGTCATAAATTTTGGTGAAGTTTAAAACTATTTTTAAAAAGAAAAATAAACATGCTCTGAAAAAATAGTTTTTAAAATTATAGAACTTTTAAAAGTTTAGAGTTTCGAACCGTTCAAACTCTAAATTCCGTTAAAATTACCCATATTAATAATTTATTCTCAAATTACTATATTTTAAAAATAACCCTTTAAGGTCCCAAAGCTATGAAGTGGTCTATTAATAAAAAATAATAATAATATTTATACATAATTTTAATTATAATATACTGATAGCATAAAAAGATTATATTATCAACTAATCATAAATTATTATATCAATAACAATAATTACTTTTTGCAATAATTATATATTTTAATTAATTAATTAATAATATAAAAATCCTTAAACTAAAAATGTATCATAATTAAATTCTTAATACCTTCTAAATTATCTTTACTTTTTTTTATTATGATCACATACTTATTATATTATTTTTTTTTACTTTTTTTATTATTTCTGTCTTTTTCTTAATTTTATTAATAGAAATGGATATACAAATATCTTTTATCAAACAATTTCACTATTCAAACGATATTGTTTATCATTACTTTTACATTTTACTTTTATAATATTTGAAAAATAAATCTCACATGCTGAAAGAAAATTGTTTTGATGGGAACAACTATAGCACTTGCATTGTGCTTTTTTAACGTTATAACGAATGCATACGCACGTGAGGAAAATTATTGTGTTTGGCAAGGCATGGATCATGGCCCATCTAAGGATATGGGTGTGGGCCCCAAGAGCCAGCTCAGTTGATTGACCTTGTTCCAACCGCACTTCAATTTTTGAATTTCATATATATATAAATTTATTTATTTTGAAAAAAAAATGGCTCCTTTTTATAAATATCCGTTTTATTCTTATAGCTGTTACATAGTTTGGGTCTGGCTTCTCAAGTCACCGACTCGGTTGCTATCAACGAGTGAGTGCGTGATTGGTCTCTGCAGCAACAAGGTACGGTTACTTCAGATCTCACTCTTTTCTTCGTTTCTGTTTCGATCCACGCGCTGTGTTAGCTAATTCCCTTTCTGGGTTTTCATTATCTTTGTTCATGTGATTTTTTTTATTGTACGATGATCATGTTCTAGTTAACTCATTATGTTTTTTTTTGGTTGTGCACTTTTATTTCTGGCACATTTTTTCTTCCATGCTTGTTGGATTTATTTTCTTAATTCATTTTCGCTGAAAAAATTAGTGGGGTTTGGCTTTTTTTAGTCCTCAGATTAGATTTGTTAGATTTTTATTAGTTTGGATTGGGGTGTGTGACTTGGATCATGAGTACCTTTGTGGCATCTTCATGTTTGTGGTTTTCATGCTTGAATCGCCTAAAGCTGGCTTCTTTAGGTTAGATTTGTTTGTGGGGTGACTTGTTTTGAGATTTAGCATATGATTTTCACTGGTTTTCCTATTGTATCATGTGCCTTTGCCTAATGGTTCATGCATGAGCATAGCCAGATCAGAATGCCCTGAAGTGATTTTGTTCGCTTGATCTGTACAATTTCAATTGGTTTATTGGCTGGAAGTAACTTTTCCCCCGTGAGGAGGATATATACGAGATAAAGAAAAAGGGAGTTTTTGTTTTGTTTCTAAGTAAAATGGCTATATAATTTCAAAGTGACTTGCTGATGTTCTACCCAAAATGTTTATGCATAAGAGAAGTATGGTGCTGAGCAAGGGAAAATAAATGGAAACCTTTTTGATCGTTCTCACGATCTCTATCTATACACATTTAGATTTTGCCAATCCTCGAACTTTTCATTTCCCCATATATTTCATTTTTGACAGCTGCGCATTTGATTGTACAATAATAAGTTTACCCAAAAATGTTAGTTTTCATGGTTGAAGAGTTCTATAATTATATGTATATAATTGAAAGTTTATATGTGCTCTTTATTAATGTTAAATAATTATTTTTGTGCATTAAAGCTGATCAACTTATTTACTCTGAGCTGCATAGTAAATACTCCAATGGTTTGAATATGGTATCCACTATTGATAGTTGTTGCTTTCTGTTGAGTTCTCATGGCTCTTGATTCTGTCTGTTGCATTGGATGCCATTCCATGAATGCTGGATGTAAAAATTTTCATGACAAAAAATGTGATGCTGCTAGTAGGTCTAGGTGCACAAGTTCAGAGACAGGAAATGGGTCGTGGAGTCAGCAGTGGTGGTGGTCAGAGTTCCTTGGGTTATCTCTTTGGCAGCGGGGAGGCCCCCAGCAATGTCCAAGGTGCAAGCAATCAAGGTCAGCCAGCAAATGGTGGGCGTACTCAGTCTCAGAATGCTAGTGCTCCTTCACCTCCAATTGATAAGCAAATTCCTGCTGGAATTCCAGGGAGTCTCAAAAACAATTACCATCGTGCTGATGGCCAAAACTGTGGCAACTTTCTCACTGTATGACCTTTGTCAACTTATCTGCTATACTCATTATAATTGTGCTGCATAGTAGCTCTCCTTGGTATTTCTGTGATTCTGAATACTGTTGTTTGTTACCACTTACCTTACCCTAGCAAATTCTAGAAAGCTTCACAATATAGTAGATGAGGATTGAAGTTCAGTCTTGCTTTTCATGTGCTGATAATGATCAGGAAAAAATAATGGAGTTACAAAGTTAGTGTTTACAAGTTATGGGGCAAAACAAACTCAGAAAGGGAATAGTGCTCAATCGTGGTCCTATTAGGATGAATTTCTATTTAAAAATATTCAAAACTTTATAGTAAGAATAATTCATATCTCTTGGCTAGCTACTTAAGCGTGGTTCCTTGCCATTTTGGTAGGAAGGGCAAACCATGTAAGTTGAGAAGAAGATGTTGAAGTGACAGGAATTCTGTTCCTGCATATCCATCAGATATAATATGCCCTTTATGCATGCTTTCTTAATTATTTTGTTTTTCTTGTAGGGATTCGAAGTATTTATGTTCTTGAAAATTTGCAGTTTATTGTTCTGAATTATTGGGTTTTGATCAATAGATAACCTATTTTTATAATTTTTAATCTGTTGAATTAATATTTCTTTCTCTCCCTCCTAAGTCCTGCTTAGTCTTACATTTATTTTGTTTCCATTTTGCTTTTGTCCTCTTTGTTGTCTGTTAGTGCATGAGCTAAAATTGTGGGCTCTGATTGTGCTTTATGATGCATGCTGAAGAAAATTGATGATACTGTTGTATTTTTGTAGCCTGCCATGTAGCAATTTCATATTTTGGGTTTTATAGCGGCTTCCAATAGAAATTTTCCTTCACATTTCATGCCTCATGCTTTGTTTGTGTATGATGTCAACCTTAACATAATTGAGTATTTTGGTTTGATGCTTTAAGAGTGAAGATGGAAACCGTTAACTTCATCATCTCTGATAATGTATGCTTTTTGTTATGATACTGAAGAACTGTTCTTAACAATGATTTCTTTTTGCATGCAGGATCGACCATCTACCAAGGTTCATGCTGCCCCAGGTGGAGGATCGTCCTTGGGTTACCTCTTCGGTGGTCCTCCAGCTGGAAACTAATTCATTAGTTTGATTTGAACCTACCATGTGTAAAATAGACAGTGTTGCCTTGTGTTTAGACCAGTGGACATGTTTCTTGTGCAATTAAACTCTTGACAATGTTTTAGTAGCTCGATGGCCCAAACTAAGCTGATTCATAGGTTTGTTGTTCTGTGCTGTTGTGTGGGTTTCGATTAATGAAATTTAATGTACCTATGAGCTAAAGTGACTCATAATTGTTCTCTTATCTTCATTTGTGTGTTCATATCATTATGATGACTCTTTTGAAATGACTTTGGCCAACCAACTTGGAAAATCCACTTCTCCTTTGGCTTTAGAAGTGTAGTAGTGTATCATGTTGTACCCGTTGCATTGGCATTGTTGCATGAATCATCAAGACCATAACATTAACTCGGTCCTTGATGGTTATAGGTCCTGCTTCATTGTTTTGAATTGTGTGTTAATGTTTTAGCTGCACTTGTTCTAATTTTAATCCTAATGCTAGATAAATTGGTTTGCTTAATTGACCCACATGCTCGGGAAAGTAACATTATATTATTTCTTAAGACTTGACTAGTAACTAACATCATATTATTGTTTTATTAATTCTTAAAAATCTGATTCTAAATTTGATTTTAACAATTTCATTGACAATCTCCCTCGGGTTGATGCAAAGATGTCAACTTGCTAACTTGGATTTCAAGGAGTTGTCACCGTTAGGCAAAATATCAGTTACTTAATTTTTACTTGGAACAAATGGAATATAAATTACCCTTTTTCAACCTTTTATGAGATGTGAATCAATCTTAATATGTTTATATCTATGTACAGATGAATTCATGTGCAATTTTGATAACTGGTTTCTCGAGTTCTTCTAATACCCCTTTTAGCTGGTAGCTTTCACAAACTTCTTTTGCTGACAAAACACTATTTTACTCTTCAAAGCACCTTAATTATCCCAAAGGTTAGTGCGGTGCCTTTTAAAAATAAAATTTGTATAAAAAAGAAATCAAATATGCTGTAAGTCTTTTAACTACTCTGTAGGAATAAGTAAACTTAAACTAAAATCTTATTCAAAAGCATATCCAAAAGTAATTTTGTTAAGCAATTTTTTTTAAGAAGAGACTCAATTATCATTCCGTTTGAAATTTACCAAATCAATGAAAAAGACTCGGTGCTCAAATAATATTTATTAAAAATAATTGTATCTTCCTATAGATTTTAAATTAAAAAGAAATAGGTTAAATAATTTTTTAATTCCTAAAAAATTCAAGATCTTTTGATTTGGCCCTTTATTTATAATTATTTTCAAAAGTCTCATAAAAATCCTTTTTCACTCTCGTATGATTCATCTATTAATAATTTATTTTAAAAAAACTTATTATTTACCTACATACTGTCCAACTTACCTCATGTAGCATGGCATTATATGAATGATGGGGTGGCATTTATAATTTCATTTCCTTTTTATTTTAAAAATTCTAACCTTATAGCTTAAATTTTTATTCTAAAATACGTAGGATATGATGCTGTTAATGATTTATTTTATCTATGTCATGTCTTAATAAAATTGAATAAGTTAACTTGAATGTTACATGAACAATTAATGAAACAAGTTAATATATCACTAACAAATGGACTAAATAAAAATGAAAAATAATTTTTTGGGTGCTAGACTAAAGAAAATTTAAAGGATGAATGAGTGAAAAAATTATGAATTTTTAAGTAAAAGAATGTTACTTGAATAATTTATAGAAACCAAAATCAAAGTTTGGTATATTTTGAAAGACAAAAAACATATTTAATCAATTTGATGGACAGGTTCTACAATTAAATATTTTATTGGCTGATTGTAATAAGATTTATTAACAGTAATTATTATAATTAATTAGTTGATTATATAAAAAATTTAAACTTTATATCAATTTATTTTATCTTTCATCACCATGATTTATTTGAAATTATAAAAAATATCAATATTTATTTAAAAATTAATCATAAAATTCAAATAAAATAATATTTATTTTTTTTATCAATTCATTAAAATTACATAATTATGATTTCTAAAATAAATTAAGAAAAGGAAATGTTTTTAGTGCCAAATAAAATAATTGTCGCACGACATTATCTATCTAGACAAAATCTTCTTTTACATAAACGTATAAAGTCACCAATTAACACAATTTGAAAATAGGTCTATCAAATTACGAATAAAAATGGATTAGCTCAGTCCAAAATTGGTAAAAAGAACAAATTAGTGATAAATCATTAATTTGAGACAATTAATATTAACTATAAAAAATCTTGTGCATAATATGATAAATTATTTTATTTAATAAAAATAAATGTATAAGGTTACATATTAACACAAGGTGGCAGTTCTCTTCTTATATTCTTAATTCATTATTAATTTAAATTTATATTTTAATTTTTATGATTTATCTATTTGACAAATTATATTTATTTAATTTAATTTAACAAAATATTATATTTATTATTAATATTTAAATTTATAAAATTTATGATACATAAATATTCATAAAATTTGTTTAATTTAATATTAACAGAACATTACACGGGAAACGTATTAATTTAAAATTTTGGTCAGTCAAATTACTAATAAAAGTTTATTAATTTAGTCTAAAATTGGCAAAAAGAAATTGGTGATAAAACTTTACTTTGAACCAATTACTTTAAAAAAGAATAATTTTTTTATTAAAGGTCCATTTGACTTACTATTATGGATTATGGATTGATGATTTTAACAATAACGATTTAATATAAAAGGTACCTTTTATCTTATCCAATTTGCTTTAGAGTTTAGGCATTGACTTTAATTAAATCCCTTCATATATATAATTTTTTATCAAATTCTGAATAACATTTTTTTAATTATCTAAGATAAGCTAATAGTTTTTCTGTGTAGATATTATTAAATTAACTTCATTTTGTAAAATAAATAATTAAAATTTTATTATATAACTATTCTTAAAGTATTTTTTGTAATTTTTTTAAATATATTATAACCATTAATGATAAACATTCCATTAAAATAAAATTAAAAACTTATAAAAATCAAAATTTAAAGTAATATTCAATTAAAAATAAATATATAATATAATATTTAAAAAATACTATTTTTCATAAATTATTATTTATGTATCTTATAGGCATAGTTGTTATTATTATTATTATTATTATTATTATTATTATTGGACAAAAGCCTTTATTTTATTATTTTGAAATATTTTTTAAATTAAAAAAATCTTAGAATTTTCATTTTTAAAAATTAACAATGCGTATTCTTTCTTTAACCTTGGAACAGTTTTAAGGTCATCGACACCGAATAAGTAGGGTTTTTGGCACCTCACTGTATATTGTGCTGCGCGAGCTAGTTAGGGTTTCGAATCTCTCAGTTGCAGAAACCATGACGACGGTGGTGCCAACCTCTGAGGAAGATGCTGCACTCTCCGTCGTTCGATTCGCCTCTGAACTCGCCTGGGCCGATGCCGGTCCTGAGGTATTTTTCTCTTTTCGTCTTTTTCTTCGTAAATTGTTCGGTTATTTTGCTTACTTATTGGTTTTGGCTTGCGATTTTCGCTTTTGATTATTTTCTGGAGATAGAACGATATGTTCACAATTATTTGCTAAATTGAAATGCACGTGGAACTTTTAATTGAATCTGATCTTATAAATCTTGGTGAGCTTTTGATAGTATATTCACGTTTTGATATGCTCGTGACTCGTTCTGTATCGTCATTTTCAGTTGTAGAAGTTTCCGAGATTTACTTTGATGTTCGGAAACGGAAGGGAATGATATATATAGTTCAGATTCGTTTTGTGAGTTGGAAATATTGGCTATTGGGAATAGTTTATTTTAGGGTTTGTGAGTGCTAGATTAGTTTCTTTTGTTTCTGCTATGTACACTCATTCATATTGTTATATGCGAGCACATCATTGTGTTCTTTGTTTTTAATTTGGTGCTTGTGTTATTCACGAACTTGGTTCTTCTATCTTGGTGTGTCAGGTTGCTGAACCACAAGTTAGTAGGCTCTGCATGGAGGCTGAAGAGTTCATTGTTATGGGAAAGTGGTTGGAGCTTGCATCATTGATGATAACATCTGCTGAACTGATTTTCTCAAAGGTTTCTGAAAAAGGTAGAGTGCTCTTTATGCTTGACATATACTCTTTTTTTTTTATTGTATTCCTCTTACATTTTGGCTTAGTTCCTGTTCTATTGGTGAAAAACATGAATCCAATGTGGTGTGTATATGCTGTACATTGTACAATGCTCTAACTGGATCTTTTTCCATATCTGCCTGCTACTTTGGTGGATCATAGCATTGTTGCATGGGATATTCTCTTAGCTTTTTCTTCTTGATTCTGTTGCATTTATAGCTTCTTTTGGTTTTGCATTTCTTACTTTCTTGTTTAGAATCAGATTTGTTGTTGTTGCATGCATGGTGAATTGCTCAGGGTTGGGATTCATTATTACTGTTCCCATTTGAATGTTAATTTTAATGTTAACTAGATCTGTTATTTCTGATGCCAGATATAGAGTCCATCTTCACTATAATCTGCAATCTTGTTACAAAGACTGAGAATCCTGATGAAGTGATGGAGATGGTAAAAGTTATAACTGCTAAAATACTTCAGCAGCCAAGCGAAAAGCCTGCTGTGCGATTGAAGATGTAATATCACATCTACTTGGTTTAGAAATTTTGGTAATGCAGCGATTAGGCCTATTTATATGACTACCTATAAAACAACATCTCTTTTCTTTGCAGTTTGATAAATCTTTACAATCTTTTGGAGACTCCATACTGCCAGTTTTATGTCTACATGAAGGCATTGAATTTAGCTGTTGATGGGAAAGTCACAGAATACATTATACCTTCATTCAAAAAGATTGATAGCTTCTTGAAAGACTGGAAAATTGGGATACCAGAACAGAGGGAGCTCTTTCTTACTATCTCTAATATTTTGAAGGAAAATAAAAGGTATAGCAGAAGTGAGTCCCTATTAACATAAATTTTATTCATGTTTCCTTTACCTCTCTTGTAAGTACTGCTTAAGTTTCTTTTCATTAATACTGCTTAATATAGTAATTAGTATTGCATCTCGTTATATCACAGCATGTCAAAGGATGCTTTTAAGTTCCTGACCAATTATCTGGCGACTTTTTACGGAGAAGATGCACATGTTTTGAGTGAAGCCAAGGAGGAGGCTGCACGTGCAATTGTGGAATTTGTGAGGGCACCTGACATATTTCAGGTACCTTGTCTAATTCTAATT